TGCCAGTCTTGCGTCTGCAGCCTGGTCTTGATGACGTCCAAAGGGGTCGTTATCGCCGACGCAAACCCACCGCTCAAACCTGTATACAGGTGCGCACACCGTGCCGTGCCGTGCCGTGCCTTTCTTGGCATCCATCGCCCACAGCAACCAAGACATGGAAGCCTGCCTAATGCGTATACGTACCAGCAGCAAGGAAGTAGAGGGGCAGGGCATAGGCGGTCTGCGCTGCGCTTGTGGCGTCCGCAGGAGAGGGGGCGGGGGGGGCCTGCGGGGGCGGAGAGGCTGATGCTGCTGCGGAGTGGTCGTGTCTGTGCTGAGGGTGGCGCTGGTGGTCATGGTGCCTGTGATGGTGGTGATGGTGGTCGCTGTCAAAGTGGTGCTGGTGCACGTGGTGCCCGGCCACGTGTGTGTGTGAGGCTGCGTGTGGAACGGCCGAGCTGGACAGCCCCAGTGCCTCCTTCATCGACTCGTTGACGGCCACAAACATGGCCCCATAAGGAATGTTCATCAGCACCGTCGTGGGCACCGAGCGGAAGAAACTCGCGATGCCCTCGCTGCGCACCACCGTCACGAAACAGTCCACCATCGACCTGCAACACCAGAGAGGACGGACGCCCGTCGCATATTCCACCTGGTGCGTTGGATGGATGGGTACAATTAATAAATTACGTGCAGTGCACACATACACACACACACACACACCTGTAGCAGCCGAGCTGCATTCGCTGTTTGACGACGTCCATGGGGGTCATGATGAAGTCGTGGCTGAAGGTGGCGGTGGCGCCGCACAGCATCGCCCGCACGGGGAAATGGCCCTCGTGGTGGATGCCCAGCCGGTCCTTCATCACCTCGTACACGCAAAACAGCGACGCATGGGCGGGGATGCATCCGCTCGTCACCGCACCAAGACCCCTAACACAGACACAGACAGACACGGGCAGACAGAAACGTTAGGAAACAACAGACAGACAGGTCAGGCACCCCATCCCTCGACAGACCTGAAGAGTCCTTTCCATCCTCGTTCGGTGAGTATGCTCCTGAATGCCTGTGAGAGCGTGATGCCGCTGCCCTCCTGCAAGGCCTGCACCCTGGTCTTGAGGGTGTCGATGGGGAACATGGCTATGTGCTCGGTGCAGCCCGCGATGCTGCCGCAGAGTGCGTGCAGCCAGAAGGGGTCCTCGCCCTTCCACTCCTCCCAGTTGACCCTCTCCTCAAGGGACAAGTGGACAGCCGACCCAGCAGCGGCTGACCTCGATGCAGAGGCAGATGCAGCCGCCGCGGCATTTGCGGCAGAAACCGATGACGCAACAGAAGCAGCGGCAGTGGCGGCGGCAGCGGGAGAGGGGGAGGCACGCACCTGACAGACAAAGCATACAGAGCACAGGCATGGGGAAGGATGGTAGATGAGAAGGAGGAAGACTGTTTTGGTCGCGAGTGCTGTCTGGATGAGGCCTGGTAGCGCACCTCCATAGAAGATGCGTCCGTGGACAGACTGCAACTTCTTCCACGCAGCGTGGGATAAAACAGCTCGCAATAGCTCGCAATAGTTGGTTCATTCTGGCCGTGATGGATCTCGCCTTGTAGAGCGAGTTGTTGAGCATTTTCGGTGCCCATCACCTATCGCTCATCGTTGTCGGTGTGTGTATCTGCCATCCATCGGTGGTTTGTGTGAGCGATGGCGACGCATCGGCGGGATTCGTTGGGCAAGAAACAGTCCCTGTGGCAGAGCATCCTCGCGGACGGCTCCAGGTCCTCGCAGGAGAAGAACTCCACCATACTCATGCTCGGTAGGTACATGTACCGTACGCACCGGCGGGAAAAACGGAAGGAAAGATATATATGGGTGGATGGATGGATGGATTCTGTTCTTGGATGGATTGGATGTGTGTTGGGTGGCCACCACGACAAACAAATGGATCCATCCATCCATCCGTGCAGGTCGCCATGGAGTGGGCAAGCGTAGTCTGCTGCGGGCCCTGCAGAAGATCGGCAACCCCGACGACCCTTCCTCGGGAGATAACCTGGTGGGTGGTGGGTGGGTGGGTGAAGAGAAGATCCATCGGCGGCACAGTGTGTTGACGTATGCACCATTCTCCATCCGTTCGTGTGTTTGGGTCTATGGCTGCAGGTTGACCCCGGCGTGTGTGCGTTGGATTTCGCCTACCTCAATGTGCGCAACCTCGAGGACCCCGAGTTCACCGGTCGGTCAGCGGTGCACAAAACGAACGAACGAACGAACGAACGGATGGATGGATGGATGGATGGATGGATGGACACGTGTGTGTTTGTGGACGAATGTGCGTTTTGTGTTTGTATGTGTGTGCACCTGTGCATCAGATGTGTTGGCCCGCGCCAACGTGTGGATCCTGGAGGACAGCCACTTCAGGTGGGTGGGGTGGGACCGACTGACGCATGCATACGGACAGAGAGAGGAGTGGTACGTCTGCCTTGGCTGCACGGTTGAACTGTTTGTTTGTGTGTGTAGGTCGATGATTCAGAGCCGCGTGACGCCCGAGGACCTCAAGGCCATGGCCGTCCTCATATGCCTAGACATGAAGGAGGTACGGCTGGGAGCACAGCACAGATGTGGCGACCACTTTGTCTGTCTGTCTGTCTGTCTGTGTGTGCAGCCGTGGACGATGGTGGAGGACATGCGGGCGTGGAGTGAGGTGGTGCAGGGGGACGTCGCCCACATACTCAACCAGCTCCCGCTCAAGGAACAAGACGAACTCAGACAGAAACGTACAAACACACGCACGTACACACACCGGTCTGGGTGGGTGGGGCTAATATACATATTTACTTTCGTATGTGGGTTAATTGCAGTGGCAGCGTACATTCAGTCGTACCAGGAGCACCTCAAGGGCCACAAGGACGAGCAGCACGATCAAATGGGATTCACGCGAAAGTAAACCGCCCACCACCCACGACAGACATCCGCCCGCTATTTCCCATCTCCCCTCCCCGTCTGCAGGCGGACGATCAACGTGGACGAGGTTTCGCTCAAGGAAGTGAGCACACCTGCTGCTGAATTTGCCCGGTTGGTCGTCCGGTTCAGATACGCGTGTGTGTGTGTGTGTTAATGTGCAGGGCGAGTCGTTGTTGGGTGAGGGCATGCTGACGTTCAACATCGGGATACCCGTCATAGTCGTCGTCTGCCAGGTACCCGCCCTCGACCAAGAACAAGCCAGTTCCCGAAGGCACACAAATGGATGGATGGATGGATGGCTGTGTATTGTCACACACATAATACCTATAGTCTGAGAACTACACGGCCCTCGAGGACCGCGCCACACAGGTTCGCACAGCCACACACACACACACACACACAGACGTGCACGTGTGACACGTACGTCCGATTGTGGATTTTGCCGATGTGTCGTGTGATGCATCGATGTGATGTGTGCAGGGTCATTTGGACATCATCCAGGCCCATGTGCGCGACGCGGCGCTGCCCTGTAAGCCAAGCGTCTCTCAAACACAACACACACACAACCGCACCACCCACGTGTGCGAAGAGCCTGACGTCTCTGTGCTTGGTGTGCTGTGTTGTGTTGTGTTGTGTTGTGTTGCCTTTCTTGGTTTGGCAGATGGTGCGGCGCTGTTCTACACCTCCACCAAAGACCCACGCAAGTACGGGTCGCACAAAGAGAGAGAGAGAGAGAGAGAGAGACAATGGGTGGGTGGATGGATGGAGCATTGTTTGGTCAGTGCCAAGAACGTAGACGAGTTGTACCGCTACCTCACGCACAGACTATACGACTTCCCATTCAAGTAAACCTGCCAGCCAACCAGCCACGCATCAATGAAACCCTCTCTCTATATATATATGCATCTGTCTGTCTGTCTGTCTTTCTGTCTGTCCGTCTGTGGGTGTAGGCACCACGCTGACACGGTGTCCAAGGATGCGTTGATGATACCCACAGGATTCGACAGCAAGAAACACATCACGTACGTCAGCTGGCAAACCACCAACACACGGCGCCGCCCCAACACACGCAGATCACTGTCCGTTTCCCTCTGTCTGTGTCTGTGTGTCTGTCTGTCTGTCTGTGTGTGTGTGCGTGTGTGCAGGGAGTTTGCCGCCAAGACCGTAGCGCAGGGGCTGGAGGTGCGTACAGACATCTGAGTACACACATCATGACACATGACACGTATATATGCATCACTACATGTCTCTCCCTGTTTGTGGTTGGTGTCGACCCATCCACCAGAGGCCCTTTGAGACCATCATCCAGAAACCCACATCCAAGCTCAAAGTCGCCAACAACCAACGCACAGCCCGCCGCAAAATTGGGCGCCTGTCAGCCCGTGAGTGAGTGACTCCGTGTGCGTCTATGTTGCGCCTGCAGGCCCGTGACTCGGAGCCCTATGTCGAGATCGAATCCATGGCCGCATTCCTGGCAAAAGCGCAGGTATGCAGTTGATTTCTGTCGGTGGTGCGTGAGTCAGAGGACGGCGTGGCGTGTTTGTGTGGGTGGGATGCACTCACTGCATTCATTGCAGCACGCCTTGCACGCATCGGGCCCCGGCGGCAAGTCACTCAACATCAAACACGAAAGCAAAACCAGGGTACACACGTGCTGCAGGAAGCCCAGCCAGCGATCACTCGCTGGCTCCGCTGAGACAGACGCGCAATGCAACAAGCAATGCCTGTCTGTCCCTGTCTCTCTGTGTGTGTGTTTATTAGGATCGCACGACGACGAGGGCGGACGCTGTGGGTGGGGCGGGAGGTGGCGGTGACCGTCGCGTGACGCCGATGTCGGGCGGCAACGGGGCACCTGCACCTGGGGTATGGCTCGCTGGATGGATGGACGGACGCTCTCACGCTGTCATCTATACGCTGTGCTGTGTTGCGTTGTGCAGCAGCAGCAGGACAACGCGCAGCTGGCCAACTTTTTCAAGACGCTGCTCGACAGAGGTCTGTCTGACCCAGTGATGACGCACGAGAGAGGGACATGATAATCAGATACATGTGCATTGTCAGTCAGTCTGTCAGTCTGTCTCTCTGTGCGTGGGTGTGGTCTGGCTTTGCTTTGCTGTAATGTCCTCCGTCCGTTGTGTGCAGGTCAGCAGGGCGGTAGCGGTAGTTCTTCAGGCAAGATGCCCCCCACACCCACAGGCGCCGCTGCCACACAGCAAACCGCCGGACGCACATCCAACCCGCAGGTCACTAAATCACATGAATACAGCCTCAACGAACCACATGCTTTGTCTCACGGTAAGTGCGTGGGCATATGCGGTGGTTGGGGTGATTGGCTTCAGAGTTTGTCCGGTGAGGGGGCCGCCTCCGGGGGCAAGGACGCGTGAGCGAGGGAGGCCGTGGGGGTGGGTTAGCTGAGCCAGCTCTGAGGACTGGACACACCTGCATCCACGCACGAGCGTGTCTACCTGTGACGGTGTACGGTGTGGTTGGTGTGTGGTGTTGGTGTGACTGCCTGATGCATGCCTGTCTGCCCGCGCAGGATCCAAGGCGTTTAACCGAACCATTCATGCCATGGGATGCCATCCACGCGTACCCGTCGATGTGTGTGATGTGCGTCAAGACCGACCAAACAACATTAACGTAACTCACCCACGCACACCACAACCAGAGTGTTGTTCGTCACACGCCCATCCACCCATCCGTCCGTCTGCCCACCGATGGATGATGGGTGGCCAAACCATCAACCACCACCACCACCACCACCCACACAAACCACGCGCACACACAGCCCTCGCACTCCGCAAGGCAGCGCCAGCGTGTTTGTTTAAAGGAATCCGGTCGACTCGAGCAGATCTCGCTCGGCCTGGTCGAGCGCTGGGGGCACGTCGGCGGCCTCGGCCTTGTGTCTGAGTGTGGTGAGGGCCTTCCTCTTCTCGAAGAAGGCCCCCGCGCGGGTCTTCCGCCTCGCCTCCAGCTTCTGCACCAACTCGTCGTAGTTCCAGCCAACCTGTGTGTAGGGAGGGACACGACGGACAACACTCAAAGGACGGACTGACTGCTGCTTCTCCGTGGGTGAGCCCTCCCTCCCTCCCTGCCTCTTCCGCAGTCCGTCGCCGCCTTGTTCAATCACGTACCTTTCCAGAGAGGTCTCCGAGTCTGCAGTGTTTGCGTCCGTTCTTGAGCCGCAGCACCTTGAGCGCCGCTGGAACCACCATCTTCTTCTGCTTGTCGTACGGAGTCGGCATGCCTACCACACAACATGTTCAGTCAACACACAATCACAAAGCCATCTCTCAAATGCTCCCTCCCCTGAACTGGCTGGTTTGGTGTGACTGGTTGGTTGCTGCTTGGGTGACTGACCTTCGAAGACCTTGAGTCTGTCCAGGGCTGCCTGTCCGCGTGCCGTCTTGTGCGGGAGCATGCCCCTGACGGTGCGCCAGAAGATCTTGGCGGGACCGCGGAAGTGCTTGTGGCCGCGACAGGGGTTGGAGTTCATCGTCTTCCGCAGAAACTCGTGGTACTTCACTGACAGACAGACAGCCACACAGACGCACACAGACACCCAGATAGACAGACAGACAGGGATGGACAGACGGATTGTCGCCCTGCCGTTTTCTCCGACGGGGATGTGCGCGGTGCGGTGCCTACGTTGGTTGCGGTAGAGAGATCCTGAGATGTTGATGTCCTCGCACCGCACGGCCACCTGATACCGACACCATACACACTCGTCAGCCAGACCCTCTCCCGGCCTTCGTGCTTGCGCTCCGTTGCTTGGTGGTTCAAGCGTGGCGACTCACCACGTGTTGTCCGTTGAGGAGTTCCTTGGCCACCACCGACGCCAACCGCCCGAGCATGTGCCCGCGGCAGTCAACCACCACGCGCTGATCACCAGCACACACAACACGCGCAACACCCGCCGCACAGGCAGGCAGGGCAGAGAGGCACAGACGCAAGTGTGTGTGTGGGCGGTTTGTGGTCTGTTTGAGCTGAGGGCGCTGTGGCCTGTCCAGATCTTGGCTTCCTTACCTCCTTGAACATTGCGACGGTTCTCCCAAGTGTGCGAGCTTGGATCGCTTAGGGCAAGAAACCCGTCTTCCCCAAACCCAAACCGAAACCCTAGACCTTACTAGCACTTCCACTGGAAACTTGAACTGATGGCATCAGTGAACGGTTCATCGATCTCGAGCAGTACTAGTGAGATCCAGCAGTACCAGTACCCGTGACCGTGGCAGCTGTCCGAGCGCGTGGCTACGGCGATGGATTGGACGGTCCGTGGAGGTCAAGGAATGCGTCAGCTGGAGAGGTGGAGTGCGGAGGACACCTGTATCGGTGAGCGATTGAAGATGCATGCAGACAGTTAGGCAGTACGGGCACAGCGCGTGTGTGTCTGACTACGTGTCTGACTGTCTGCATTTGCAGTACATGTAACCGTGTGACGTGACGACACGTCGTCGCTGTAGCCGAGCAGAACAGAGATCCACCCGCCACGGCACTTCCATCTCTGTGTGTGTGTTTCTCTCTTGCTTCTTGCAGCTTCGGCCGAGCAACATGGGCCATGCTGCAGCACTGCCAGCCGGGAAAAGCGCAACGCTCATGGGCCCACTGCATCACTCGGTCGCTGTGTGCGCATGCAGGTGTTCACATCAAGATCGTATGTACATGTGTTTCGCATGGGCAGGGCCGGCGACGGGGTACCCGGTGCCGACCACAAGCCGTCATTCTCGGTGAGCAGACACTTCACTAACTTCCCCACAACATACGCGTATAGTACACGACTTCCGTCAAAAAACGTTATCTCCTCAACGGGGTGGGTGCACACCACACAAAGCCACAAGTAGGGCAGGGGAGAGAGAGAGCGTAGAAAGCAGCGGATGTTTGATGGAGTGTAGGGGTCCGCGGGCGAGTAGCTACGAGCACATACCGAGGGCTGTGAGGAGAGAGATCGACAGACGAGAAAGGCTCTCCCACGGCACACAAGCAGAAAGAAACGGACTGTGACTGTGGGCTTTGTCTGTGTGTCTATCAGGTTGTGGCACGCTGTCTCGGCAACTACTCCAGAGAAGTGACCCCAAGGGCAGAGTTCTCTACAGTAAAAGGGGGCGAGCATCGTGGCAAAGCGTCCAGATGTGCGTCGGTCGTGGATTGGTGGATGGATGGATGAACTGTCTCTTGGCTCAAATCTGCCAAGTGACAGAGAAATGAGCGTAAGGTGCTTTCTCGGTAACTAGTTCTTCTCGGTAACTAGTTCTTCGGCACTTTTTGTCGGTGTGTTGCATAAGCCCATGCGCAATAAGCTCCATGCGCACGCAACGTCGAGCGGTCAGTCTCAGGGACGTGTAGAGCGGGTGGATGGCATGATGGGTGGGTGACTCGAGGAGGAATGCACGGATGGATGCAGGACAGGATGCACGTCTGTCTGTCTGACGCTTGTCTGGCACTTGATGAAGGGTCGTGGTCTCATCCACCACACTTGCTCACCACTTGTGTCTGATCATCGCATTGTCATACACTCACTCCACTCCACTCCACCCCGCAAATACACGGGATAAACGCCACTTCAGGACACCGCCACCGCGATCGCACCAAGACACGATAAACGCACCGCTCTGCCCACACCCACACCCACACAGCGAGCGAACAGGAACACCCACAGCTACGCCTACAGTACATTCGTCCACCTCCCCTGTGCGGGCAAAGCTGGTAGGCAGGCAGGCAGGCAGGCAGGCAGGCAAAGCACACAGGCGCGGCCAGTGGACGAGCAAGGCACGCAGGTAGAAAAGCGTCACGCACTCACTCACTCCCCTTCTCCTCTGTTGTTCTTCCGCGTCTCATAAAGGAAGACAAACACCGAGGCGGTCACCGACGCCGCCACGCCCAGCACCCGCCAGTTCATCGTCACGGCCCCACCCACGGTGATGCCAGGGGTGAAGCTCTCCACCTGGTGCGAAAACCGCAGATGCTCCAACTCCAGCTCAAGCCGCTCCTGCCGCGCATAGAGGGCCTCCTGCGTCACTGCCCGCCTGCTGCTGGTGCTACTGTCGCCTCCTGGCCCCCCCGCGGATGTCAGATCGTCGGCGACGGAGTGGCATCTCGTCATTTGTGAGGCGAGCGACGTGGGTGTGCTTGATGCGTGGTAGGGCAGGCCGACCTGCACCTGGTGGCAGCGGAGCCGCAGGTGCTCGTGCCTGTGTGGGGATGGAGGCCGTAGACAAGCATATTCAGTCAGCCAATCCGTCAATCGGCCTACCAGGAAAACAACTTGGCCGACTTGTAACACACGAAGAACTGTCATTCACACCACACAGTGACTGGCATACATAATACAGACATGCGCTTGCGTGCCGACCGACCGACCGACCTACCTGGATGGCGAGACCGACACACCAGAAGACAAACGCCCCCGCCTCAGCACTCGACGCGGTGTAGCCTTTCACACACACACATGCCACAACTCATGAGTGGCGACGCCTGTCTGTCTGTTTGTATGCCTGCCTTGTCCTTGCCAAATATATTCCACCCACCAAAGAAGACAATCCTGTAGACGACCAGGATCGACAAAGCCGTGTTGATTGTGAACGATATGGCGACGAAAGCGCGAAAGGTGCGGTCCACCATCATGACTCCCTGACACAGCTGGCGGTGCGCCAGCGTGAGCTGCCTCACCGAGGGCTTCTTGCCCGCGGCGGCCTCGGCATAGCTGCTCGGCTCCCCTGGCCGCGTCTTCTGCCGCTCCAACGGCCGGATGGAGTCGTCGAGTGATTGGCAAAACGCCCTAAATCGCTCGTGGAGCAGGTTGATGGCCAGTGAGTAGGGCAGCAGCGGCACAATCCACACAAAGCACGGAAAGATGCTCAGAATCGCCGTCACGAGCCCGAACCAGTGAATGCCTGCAAAGCAACGTGACGGAACGAGGCCGCGGGCAGATTGATCAGATTGTCGTCCGTTGAGGATGTGATCGTCCGTACCTGGGCTTTCTTCCTCGATGAACCAGTCGGCCCACGGAAAGTTGAAGACCCGACGTGTCTGTGCGCCAATAATGTAGCCAAACACCAGCAACAGCCACGAAGTCAGGGCGGCGGCGAAGCACACCACCGACCACACCTTGACCCGCCGGGAAAACGATTCGGCCACATCTTTGCTCTGGTCCCCCAGGGCCAGTGTCCAATAGCTGCCCTTGACCAGACAGGCGAACACCATGGCCAGCCGCTCCCTCGACACTGAGACCAGCATCCACAGCCGAATGCCGCCGCACATAAGAAACCAAAGTGTTGTGGCACTCAACAGGATGCCACGGCCCTTGGTGTCGGTGAAAAAGTCCTCAGTGTCCTCCAGAAAAAGGGCATCGATGATCGCCAAGTACCAGCAGACGAGGCAGGCGAAGCCCGAAGCGACCCTCTCCGCCCGACCATACGGCACGAGCAAACTCGCCCGCAGCAAAACGAACATCCACTTGAGTGCGTCCTCCTAGAGATTCCACACACGCAGACAGACATAGAGAGAGAGCATCGTTGATTGGTTTGATCTGCGGGTGTGCCTGTGTGTCTGTACGCGTGTGTGTGTGTGTGGCTGACTCCGAGCAGCCGCTCTCCGGTCGTGACTGAAGGGGGCAGTCCGACCGCACTTTTCTCGATTTCCACTCCATTGGCTGCGCTGCCGTCCTCCTCAGGTTGGATCTTGGACGGCTCACCACTGCTCGATACCGATGAACCATTCATCGAAGAACAGAGGGTTTTTTCACGATCTCATGGCGATGCACGATGGATGACCATGTTTCTCGCATGATAACTCGTCGAACTGGAAGGTCGCTCAAGATCGGTCGCTCTTTCTCCTGCAAGCTCGCACGGGATGGTGTGGCTCTAGCAGCGCGTGCAGGTCCACGAGGGAGGCTTCTTCACCCACCGCTAGAGGGCAAGGAACTCATCAGCAGCTGCGCGGCTGCAGATCAGCAGGTGAGAAGCTCACTCGAGGCATGATCTGCCTGGTCTGCGGCTCAACCGTTCTGTAGGTGCTTGTGTGGACTGTGCAGGCGTCGTGAGGCCAGCCAATGAATGCGCGGCAGCTTTGGAGTGCCCTACGTGATGGCCCGTTGGGGCGGCCGACAAGTGCCCACTGCACAGCGCTCGAAGCCCGGGCCCGAGCAGGCATCAAGGTGACTGAGGCAAACGGGTCACACAAGCCACCCGCATTCGTCATCGGGTCGATGTGTGCTGCCCCATGGAAGTAGGTGACGTACCGTGGACTGCGTCAGCGTCTGCACCAGTCGACAGCCCCGTTCAAGAAGTACACGGTGGACAATCCCATCACTGCAGGCACCTGGCCGCCTTTGGACCAGATGGGCACGCCAATCACCAATCGGGAGTGCTTCCAGCTGATGCACCACCTGCAGATGGCAGAGGTCGCCAGACTTCGGCGACTCAGGACCTTCTCGGTAGGCAAGCACAGACAGACAGACAGACAGACAAGTAGGCAGACGGGCTCATATAGGGATGGAAAGCGAAGGCGTATGAATGATGCGGGCACACGTGGACGTTTGTGTGTGGTGTGTGATGTGTGTCGTGTGAGATGCCTCGCATCAATCCGGGCGACTTGGTGGAGGTGCGCTACGAGCTGTCGAGGACACAGCAGACCTTCGCTGTTTTCCAAGGTATGCAGGCAGGCCACCGGTGAACGACAGGCCTCCCGACAGACTGACTGACTGGATGGATGGATGGATGGATGCAGGCTATTGCGTGGAGGTTCGGCTGAAGCGTTCGGACTCTTCCTTTACCCTGAAGAACGTCTATGAGGGAGTGGGTGTGGAGCAGCTGGTTCCTCGCTACAGCCCTCGGCTCCTCGATGTGCGGGTGCTCAAGGCCATCCCCAACCCACAGACAGCGCAAAAGGAGCCGCTCACAAGAGACTACAGGTCAGACAGCCGGGGGTGTTGTCTTGAATGCATGCGTGGAGCAAGTGGACGGATGCACTAACACGTTTGGTGCAGGTACAAGTGGCAGTACAACGTTCGTGGCAAGTTCACCATGAAGCAGGGCGTACACAAACCAGGTGGGTGGCTGGGGCGACTCAGGCCCGTGCATCGGAACAGCCAATGGAGGTGTCACACAACCGAGCATATGTGCGTGGCGGGTCGACTGGCCAGGTATCCGCTCGGTGGAGCCGAAGATCCGTCGCCGTCTGTCCAACATCAAGCGCAGATACATGCACCAGAGGGTCGAGGCTGGTCAGTCAGTCAGTCAGTC